AGAGGGTGGGAAGCGCAGGAAGGGCTCTGAACGCAGCCAGGGCAGCAGGTGTGGCGAGGCTTGCCCAGAAACCTTTCTCAAGGAGAACCCTGGTGGTCTTGTGCTTACAGACTTGGCCCTCCATGGCAACCCCTTATTGAAGGGCTCGGTCCTGTGTCCTAGCTCCTTTTTAATCCCAGCTGGATACTCACCCCCTTCTTGAAGTGGTCGTGTAAAAGAGAAGTGGAATTCACAGCCATAAAACCCTGAGCCTAGTTTAACCCCCTGTGCCCTGGTGAAGGAATTACAGAGGCCTCCTGTGGTGAGTTCTCTCCCAGCTCATGGCTGGAGAGAGGGAGTGTGGAGAGGGTTGGCTTGCTAACGCTGCTCAGCTCTCCCAGGCATGAGAAGGCCCCAGTGGAGCTCAGACATCTGCTTTCAGTCATTTAATAGCTCTTGAGATGGTAAAAAGGGCCGTAATGGGGACTAAATAGGGTGCCAGTGCTTTCTTGCCAAACTAGGGATGCTGAAGACTTGGGACATTCAAACGTTGGGTCTTTAGAAGAATAAATGGTTTGTCTTCCTCTATTAAGAGGCATGTGACGGTGGCTTCCAAAGATACAAGGAAGTTTCCATTTTGGTGTCGTTTTTAAGGAGGCCACTCTCAGGTTCATTGAGAAGAATGAATTCAGAAGAAAATAGACTCTCAGTTTATTGGGGTGATTTTTCAAGTGTAGGTTTCTCTTTCAGGCGAATAGGCCTGTCTCTGGTATGGGTAATTCTAAAAGATTTTGTACACTCAGCGCAAGGAAAATCTTAAAGACTTAACCATTTCTGTTACTCATTTAATGAACTGCTGCTTTGAGGACAATCAACAACTTCTTTGGGGATAGTGAATCTCATTGTGAAGTCCAAAAGGAGTCTTGGGGTCATTGAGTCACCTTTACACTCTGGCCATCACTTTAGGGAACTGAGAACAAACCAGACCCGCCGCCACTGAGCTGATTATGACACAGGGCAGGCGTCTTCACAGAAGCAGAAAGCTGCCCCTTTCTCCTGAGGGGCGCAGGTGGCGGTGTCTCAGCTGACCTGGTGGGAGGAGCCCAACTCAGAACCCACTTCACCAGCAGGTGCCCTTGCTTCAGGGCAGGCTGTCCTGAGTTCACGAAACAGATTTGGGACCAGTCTTACAGATATTTTTCTCCCAAATTAAGCAGCTCGGCTTCCCAAGACTTTTCCTATAATGGCTTTATTGGCTTGGCTTGACTTCCTTGCCTGCCTGCCTTCCTTCCTAATTCTCTTCTTTCTCCAGACTAAATTTTGGCTTGCTCTCGGAAGGGCCTACGACTGAATGTGAGCCGTCCTCTAGTGCTAATGGAGGGAGTCTCTCCAGTTGGCAGTCTTGCTAGAGCTGTGGTGAGATGCTTGCCCAGAGGGCTGGGTCTTTGGCACAGGCCACGAGTGAAATACTTTGGCCAATGGGTATACCTAGAAAAGAAAAAAAAAGCCACTGCTGCCTGAAGATGCCAGCTGTTGGGTCTGAAGGGCACTGTCTTTTGATGCCCCCCTTCAAGGTGTTGTACATTACTTACAAACTGGCAGCAGCAATGTTAGCTGGCCAGGGTTATCGCCACCAGGCTGTTTCCATAAGTTCTTCCCTTAGGCTTGGGGGTAGGGGTAGGTTCAAGCACAAGGTCAGCACTTGGAATCCACCAGCCGTTCTTCAGGAGAGAGATGCCTGCGGCAGTCTGCTTGCACAGAGGTTACAACCTTGGTAACTGCTCTGGCCTCCAGGGTCGCTGTGGGCTAGAGTGGACTAGACAGGACCCGGGGTAAGAGTCTCTCTCCTTCCAGGGGAAAAACCGCTTCAGTCTGAAGAGACCCAAATTCACAAGGGCTTTCATTCATCTTTATCTTTGGGTATTTGGAGAGCTCATTAGGGAGGCTTTGTGTTTCCACAACTTGAATGGGGAAACATCACCAGGAAGCCCCAGATGAAGAGGGGAGGAGGAGCCCTCCTCTGATTCTGCCTCTGCCTCACCTCTGGGATCTCAGGACCAGCACTGGGGAAATCTCTTGGAACATCAGGTCTCCACCTGTCACGGGAGAACCGAATAATAAGAGTTTACAGCTACGTACTCCAACCTACTGCCATCAAGTCTGTTTTGACTCAGTAAGCCTGTAGGACAGACAGATCAGAACTCAGGGTTTCTAAGACTTTGAATCTTTAGCGGGGCAGGAAACCTCATGTTTGTCTCCCGAGGAGTGGCTGGCAGCTCAGTAGTGCGTAATCCACTACATCACCAGGTCTCCTTAAAGCTACATTAAAAAAAAAGAAAAACGAAATTAACTCAATCTGACATTTCCGAGTCAGACAGCCTCATCTTTCCCTCAAGGAGCTGCTGGCGGGTTTGAACCACCAACCTTGCAGTTGGAGTTCAGTGCTTTATCTGGAAACTCTACCCTGTCTCCTTAAAGCTACAGCACTTGTGTCATCTCAAGCCCGAAACGTGAACATTGGCCAAGGTTAGGTGGTTTGTGATTGGAGTTAATAGAGAAATCAGTGCCCTTGTGGAAACAACGGCGGTCTATCGTCCTGGAGGCCATTTAGGATTGGCCGAGGAGGAATAGACCTTTGGTGCTTATTTGACTGGTGTTTGAATGCTGTGTTTCTGTTATGCCTTTAAATATTGGTATTGGGGATGAGACTAATTCTTACCAGATTAGACTCCTTCTTACCAGGCAATAAAGGCTTTTTGCACCATGATTTTTCTTGGCGTCGCTGTTTCTGTCTGAGGAACTGCATGGCTGTGGTCAGTATGGGCTTGCTGTGAAGTTCATGGACGCGATGAGACGGGCTGTGGCTAGTAGAGTGTGGCGGTTGCAGTAGGCTGGCCTGGGGACCGCTGCCTCCGGAGAGATCTTTATTCTAGAATTGCCGTTCATGGAGAGGCTGTCTGTCTGGGTCCTTTTTAATGTTGCCAAAATACGCCAAACCAAGCTCACTGCCATGGAGTCAATGCCGACTCACAGCGACTGTGTAGGACAGAGTAGGACCGCCCCTGTGGGTCTCTGGGACTGGGGCTCTGTACCGGCGTGGAAAGCTCCGTCTTTCTCCGGAGCAGCTGCTGGCTTCAAACTGCTGGCCTGTGGTTCACAGTGCAGCGTGGGACCAGATGGGTGCAGTGGAGGAAGGGGGGAGTCTCTTTGCAGGGGACCAGTGTCCTCTTCACATGCGCTCCAGGCCCAGGCAAGCAGTGCTCCCCACCCTCACCCCCAACCCAAAGCTGTTCTTTCTAGACCCTCTCTTTTATAAGGCACTTGCGGGGTACCCCCCCGGCCCCGCCCCAAGCCCCACTCCAACCAGCCTGTTGAGAGCCCAAGTGGCTCTTGCCCCACACAGCTGGTGGCCTCGATGAAAGAATGGCCTTCTTGGAGGTCACTGGGCCATGGAGCATCTTTGGAAAGTGAGCAAGAGGGGTGAAGAGCACCGGAAGGCCTCGTGAGCGCCCACGAAGCACTGCTTTTTTGTGGTGCTCAGTAGGCATCGGCTTTGGGAATTCCGTTTTCTGCAAGTAGAGTCTTTCCCCTGGCACCGCCTCACCTGGAGACGAGAAAAAGGCCCCAGTCAGAACCCCGGCCCGGGCTGTTGCTGGACAGGGTGCCTTCCAGGGCGTGCGCTTGGCCCCCAGGACGGTAGACAGGATGTTTGCGCTTTGGTCTCCGATGTGGGGTGGGGGGCGGGAACGACATGGCTCAGCGCTGGGTTTTCGTTTTGTTGATGGCGTTGCCCCACCTTTCGAGAGAGCACCCACATCGTCAATGGGCTCTTCAGGTTCCAAAACATGGCTTTCTCCCCATCCTCCAAGTTATTTTTGAAAGTTAACGTTTCAGAGCTAAAATAAGTTAAAAGCTGGCTTTGCAAGTCAGTGATACTTCAGACACTTAGAGACACACAGTTGAACACTTACCAGTTAGTATTTCACAGAGTAGTAGACCTGCACGGCCGTCCAGTACGCTTGGGGAATTGCAAGCACAGGGACCCAGGGACATCTCAGAGCCTTAGATAGAAGCTCATGCACACTGAGACGTTTAGGGTCAGGCAGCATATGCTGTGTGTCCTGTACGTA